AGCGGTCAATCTTCCCTGTCGATCCCCCTCTTCACCTCAACGTGGACAGAGGGTCCCGCGAAGTCAGGTCCCCCGAGCCGCAGCGCCACGCGCCGGGGTCTTCAAGCTCGCAGTCGGACCTCAGCTCCCGCTACTCCAAGTCCGCTGCCGAGTTCGACACCTTCTTCCAGTTCTGCGGGCTGGAGCCCGAGGTGGTGGAGGCCCTCGGGCGGGAGAACTTCTCCGCGGGGTCGGACCAGGGCACCCTCAGAGTCCGCAGCGTGAGCGTCGCCACCTCCGAGGGTGGCTTCTCGCGGCGCAGCTGCGGCGACGAGGGGCTGCAGGAGGAGGAGCTGACGGAGCAGGCGCCCAGCGCCCCCTCCGTCGTGGAGAGGAACGCGCGCATCATCAAGTGGCTGTACACCTGCAGGAAGGCCACGGAGACGCCAGCGCCACGGTGGCAGGGCCCGCGTGACCACCGCTCCGAGGCCGGGACCCACGGGTGAGCCACCACGGGGTGTCCGTGGGCGTCTGCGAGGGCTGCGTGGGTGGCAGAGCTGCATGGAGCGGGTGGGCAGGCCTCTGAAGTGGGAAGGGACCCGGAGAGTGAGACGCGGAGTCTGGGGCGAGACAACCCAGGTTCCCTCGGTCCCAGGCCCTTTCCTCTGACAGCCTGGAACCTGATTCTGTCTGTAGCACCAGCCGGTTGGCTCATTTCTATGGGAAGAGAAAACACTCGGACTAAAGCGCTGCCAGAACGCAGCTGTACATCTGTTATGATGTCTGCCTTGGAAATAGCCCGGAGCCCTGGTTCCCGCGTGACTTGGGGCGTCCTGGGGTTATATCAGAGCTGACTGTCCCTGGAGGGCGGGCCTCACACAGCCTGGAGGCCTTGATCAGCAGACGCTGGGAGGAGGCCCTACTGGGCCTTGTGGCAGTTAGGCGTTCATTTCGTGGACAGATCTCTCTTTGGCCAGATGTGTTTCACACTGTTTGAGAGCTTTGTCCCTGGGGCAGCTCATGTACAAGGAGCTTTGGTTGGTGAACTGGGCGCTGGACCAGGTTATCTCTGTGCCTTTGAGCTCTGCGTGGCCCCAACTCTATAGCTCATGTGCCTCTGAGGGCCATACCCGAGGTTGCTTCTTGCCCTATGACGCCGGCCCAGGATTGATCTTGGTTCTCTGCTGAGGAGCTGAGGAGCTAAGGAGCGCTGGTCCCCACCGTCACCTGTACCCCCTTCCTGGCACTTGTGGGGGCATTCCAGGGACAGAGAAGGGAGAGGAGGCTGCACTTTTTCAGGGTTCTCTTATGAGAACCAAGAATTTAAAGATTACAGTATCTTTTCTTCTCTATCCTTCAATGACAACTTGGTATAATTTTTTAAAATCATGTGATGGAAGTATGTTGTCTGCCCTCGACATAAACTAATTGAAGACACAGTGTCAGTGTTTAGGCTGTTGGGGGAGGCGCCACAGACTTGTGTGTCACAGCCCACCTGTGTGTGAGAATGGAAGAGACACCTGGTAAGGTCCCTGAGGGGCCATGGTCCTAGTTCAGGTGTGAAAGTTAACAAGGAGAGAGGAGGTCATTGTCTGTTTTGGACCTGGAGGGATCATGACCTAAGTTCCTTCTTATAATTCATTGAAGATTAATTGCCACTAGCATAAGCCCCCAGTGGATGTAAATGGGTAGTCAACATTTAAGTACAGAAAGGATTTACTTGTGTTTTTCATAGATTCTCTTCTTGGCAATGAGATGAGATGCAGGCACTGTGGGTATCTTGGTGTGGAGGGTGCAAGTTTTAGGGGCTCAGGTGGTCCCAGAGGGATAGGGCCAGGTGCACAGAGCCCTGACCTGGGGCCTGGGAGGCCTGTCTTCTGTCAGTCACCACCCTGCACTTAGGGCATCCATTGTCCATAAAAGGAAGGCAGAGGGAGGGTCTCCGACTCTGCACGTTGTGATCTGTATAGTCAGGTATCTGTGTATCCGGGTTTCCTGATTAGAACCCAGAAAAGGAAAAGAAAGCAGCACTATCTGTTGGAAATGTAACATGTACATTTATAAGTAGGTCCCTCCTGTGCCTTAGGCACAGATGGCAGGTGGACTGGAGGGTAAATGTGCTGAGAACAAGCAATGCACAGACAAACCCAAACAAAACTCAACAACAGGAACATAAAAGACTCAGCTCTGGTCCCTCCGAACCCAGACAGGAACTGTGGAGAGTGAAGCTATGCAGAACAGAGGTTCGTGGGGTCGCCCTCTGCCTCTCTCTCGATCCTGGGGGGGACCTGGGGGGGCGGGCAGTGTCCCCTCCCATTTGAGCAGAGAAAGGGAGAGTCACCGAGCCGGCCCAACTTTCTCTGCCTCAGCAGCCACCAGCACTGCATATGTTTGCTTCACACGTTTACTCCTCTGGACCCAGAACAGGGCTGGAGTCCTGGGAACTTTACCCCAGGAGACCCACGCCTGGCTAGTTGGAGGGTTGGGAGGAGGAAATGAGTGTCTGGCTGTCCAGCTCCTTGGGACTGAGGCGACATCTGCTTCTAGTCACAGCCCCCTGGTTGGACCCCTGTGGACTCCCGTGAAGAAGGTCCAGTGGAGAGAGCTGAGCGCAGAGCAGCCTCCACCCCTTTCTCGGCTGAGGGTCCTCTGGAAGCCGACCTGTCCTCATGGGGTTACCTGTTTGAGACCAATTCCATCACTTCTGGAAGCTGTGGGAGCAGGAATGCAAGCTGAAATTTTTCTCTAGTTTATCAGCACATTTGTGTTGGAATTTATACAAATTTATTACAGGATTTCATGAAAATTTCAGAAAATCAGTTGGTTTGCTTTCTAACTGAAAATAAAAACAAATATATTTTACATGGAGGTTTTTGTCCCATTGGTAGGTAGAGGTATTATTATCAATTAAAATTAAAATATACTATCCAGATTAAAGAACAAATTCATAAGGTTATTACCCCCATGGAGTAAAAATGTTTGCTTGTCAAAATGGAGATTTCAGAGCTGGGGAATGACTCAGAACATGCAGTGACCCCATGGGGATTGTGAGCAACAGGCAGCTACACGTGGGTGATTTTGTATTCCATTTCCCAGCGTATAATTCATGAGAATTGCTTCTCTGTCTGCGGGCGTTTAGTCATCTTCCTGTCCTTCAAGTTGCTGCAAAGGCAGAGCTGCCGAAATTTCAGTCTCTCTGCTGTGTGGCTTTGGATATGTTACTGGTTTTAATATTGTTATAAGAGAATGGCAACTTGTCCTTTGGGATAAACATTGTTTAATTTTAAGGCAAAAACCTCAGGTATTCCCCAGCTCTCTTCACATCATTCTTCAGTGAAAAAGGAAAGCTGTGGGCCCCGGGGCACTGATGGGGCAGAGCTGGTCTCACATTGTACAGATGCCCTGGAGGAGCAGACACACACACCCCTGCCTCCTGCTCCTTTCTCTGCTGACCCACCACGGGCTGGGTCCCTCGCTGGGTCCCTAGCTGAGCATTTTACTGAACAGCATTGAGTAGTCCTGAGGCACCCCTTCCTGTCTCAGGTCAGCCCTGGGCCTTGTTAGGGAGATTTGTTTGGAAAGGGTGGGGTTTGTTTGCCTGCAGGTATGTATCTGGGCTGCCTGCCTTGTTTTCTGTTCTGTCCTTCAACTCTGTGACAGTACGTCCTGGCTTTACCAACATTCAGACATTTCCTTTACTGCCTGTGAACAGTTGGAGGGAAACTGATTTCAAAAATCCAGGAAAAGGCTACAAGAAGACGGATATTTATCTGACAGAGAGAGACCAGATGGCTCTTTACTAAGGCTGCCAACTTCATTTCAAAATTTAAAATGCAAAAAGGAAATGTATGAATTTTTCAATTAAATGTATTGGGGTGACATTGGTCAATAGGATCACATAGGTCTCAGGTATGCATTTCTATGATACAAGATAATGCAGCAAATATCACAGAACCAAGGTCTGCGGGGAGCCTTGGGAGTATAATGTGTGGCCCTGCAGCCTCAGCCTGGACTGGAGTTGATTGACAGCTTTTCCTCAGGGGGGAGCCTTCCCAACAGTGGGGCTCCTTGAAATATGTCCTGGATGATTGGAGGCCCCAGGGCCATGATCACTGCCACAGGCTTGGTCCAGTGCACCCAAGTGACCACACGGTTGTTTTTTCCAGGAATAAAGAGCTCCACTGAAGAAGCTTAGGGAACTCCCGAAGGTTGGAGATGCTGCGGAGAAGATGGGGCCGTGGAACTTAGAAATCAAGGATTAGCCGAGTGACACACCATAACCCCCTAGAGATGCTCCCTTGTTTGAGGTGGACCCACCCTGGCCTCCAGAGGAAATATTTTCAGGGCATCTTTTTGACTGGTTTGCTAAGAGGCACTGTGATGCTTTTTAATAATGTCTACATTAATTTAAAAAGGCAAAGGCCTGAAAACCAAGCATGCCATGGTATCGACTGCTTTCAGTCCTCTGAATCAAAGTTCTGGAACCCCAAGACGATGTTCTCTATCCCTGGGGCTCGCACCTGCATGCACACTTCTCAGCATCACGCACTGTGCCCCCGGCACTGGTGGCTGCTTTAATGACTCAACACGTTTCCAGTCACTGGAGGCTCCTCTGTCACTCCACTTACGCCAGTCCCCCTGGGCGGCAAACAAGCGCAAATACCATGAAAAGATGAGTGGGAGCTGAAATACTGCTGAAGTCCTTTTCTTGTACGGGGACCATTTTGGAGAGGCAGGTCCTGTCATCAGCGTTCCGGCTCCCAGCTGTGCGGAATCTCCAGGAAGAAGCCGGGGTCTGGGCTCTGCAGCTCAGGCCCCGCCCTGCCGTGTGTCATCCGTGCCCAGAAGTGGCACCAGTTCAGCTCTGTGCAAAGGGCATGTTTGCCAGGAGGGGCAGCCTCCGGGTGGCTGGGACTCCAGGGTCAGATCCTTGTTGATACGGAGTTGGTGTGACCAGATGCTGAGCCGGCTCACAGCATCCAGAGTAAAGAAAACAGCCTTCAGATTCAGAACCTTATGAGAGAAACTGAGTCCATGACGACAAGTCTTCCAAAGCTTTCGGTGTTTTATCAAATGTCCCTCTTCAAGAACAACATTATTGGAGAGAAGAATGTGGAGGGGAGAGAAATGATTTTTTCAATGGTAAAATAGTTCAATGTAAAATAGTTCTAACCAGTTCACATTGGTATATTGTGTATTCATTTAGTATGATATTCTATTTTTGTAACTGTTTTACTAGAAGAGTAGGTCTTTGACTTAAATATTTATTTTTACACAGTTATCAAGTCTTCAAATAGTTTTATTCACGTCACATAATTTTAGTTTTACCAGAATAATATCACATCCTGTTCTCCTACTTTCTCCTGCTTCTCTTTTCATATTTGCTGTCTAATTGCATTTCAACTTTTGACTGTGAGCAGTGTTCTCTGCTCTGCAGAGTGCTCTGAGCGGACAGCTGTTTGCACACAGCCCAGGTCTGTGCGTTGGAGGCTGTGCAGGCGGACAATGGGCCTTTCTCAGTGTGGACTCCGTCGAAAGACAGCGAATCCCTCCGTCACTCCTATGAAATGCTGCTGTTCCCGGGGCTGCACTTTATTAAACACAACAGTGTCAGGGATGAGAGTTTTTGAGGGATCTTCTGCACCCCATCCCATCTGCTCATTCGCAGCCGTCCCAGGAATTTTATGCGAAAGCTTTAAGTAAAATTGCTTTGTGCCTTTATACACTCAGAGTGGGGTGAACTGAAACTAAGGTCAAATTTATTTTAGTGGTGCAGGTTCACCTTCCGTAGAATAGATGAAAAATATCTTTAAAAAAAAATTGGTTTCTGTTTTAAAACCACCAAGATCTTCCAGAAGCATTTGCACTTGGGCGGGGACACGGGTTGGGGGGGGGGGTGCGGGGGAGGAAAGGATCCCTCAGAGTGAATTCTGGAGGAGATGTCAGATGCGTGAGGATCAGGCAGAGTGTGTGCTGGGGGCTGAGAAGCCCTTTCCTAACCCGGAATTTGCTGAGCGACTTTGAGGAAACCAAATTTTGCACCTCAATCTGAGTGAATAAAAAGCTTGTAATTGCTTTTAAAAAGAAGGAGTGGTGGTCACTGTGGCAGCTCAGTTTCATTTGTTCATGAAAGAACGGCACATAGAATGACCTCATTACACACAACAGAGAGGAAGAACTATGGCGACGTGAGGCGTGTGGCCTGTCTTGTCTCACTAATAGGTGGGTGCAGGCTCCCAGCAGACGGGAGGGCACGTGTGTGAGTGGGATGTCTCCTTGTTCCAAACATTGGTTCCTAGTCTGTAAACTGGTCACTGGTCCTGGAGTGACAGGAAGGCTATACCGGACACTGCCCTTTTCTGTAGGTGAGTGTCGAGTGTGGTTGTAGCGGGGCCGGTGGTGCCATAAAGCATCAGACCACACAGTTACTGCAGTTTCTAAATAGTTTTTCCTACATGCTACTTGCAAGGGGAGTGCAGTAGTGTATATTCTGTATTAAAGACAAAGTATTTTTTATCTTTTATTATTAATGTACTAGAGACCCAGTGCACAAAAATTTGTGCACTCGGGAGGGTCCCTCAGCCCGGCCTGTGCCCTCTCGCAGTCTGGGACCCCTTGGGGGATGACCACCTGCTGGCTTAGGCCCGCTTTCTGGGGGATTGGGCCTAAGCTGGCAGTCAGACATCCCTATGGCAGCCTGAGAGCCCTCGGGGGATGTCCACTTGCCAGCGGGGAGCAGGCCTAGCTGCAGTTGGACATCCTTAGCGCTGCTGAGAAGGCGGGAGAGGCTCCCACCACCACCGCTGTACTGGCAGCCCTCAGCCTGGCTTGTGGCTGAGCAAAGCTCCCCCTGTGGGACCACACTGACCACCAGGGGGCAGCTCCTGCATTGAGCGTCTGCCCCCTGGTGGTCAGTGTGTGTCATAGTGACCAGTGATTCCCAGTCGCTCTGCTGTTAGGGTCAATTTGCATATTACCCTTTTATTATATAGGATGAACGTGAACACTCTAGAAACAATCAGCAAGCGTCTGCCCGTGATCACTTTCCATCTCTTTCTTTTCCTTCCTCTCTTCCTGACTTTAACTCATCACATCACCAGTACAAATGGGGAGAGAAGTGACATCGGCGAGTCCCATGGCATCAGAGGGCCCCCGTCAGCGATTTCTGACCCGTGTGCCACAAGAATTTGTAAAACATACACTAATACCTGACTCTTTACGCAGGAACACTGGCCTCTTTTCCTTAGATTGTGAGAAAAAAAAAAGACAACAGCCAATACAACAATAGCCATTCCCAATTTGCTGAGTGACTTTGAGAAAAGTAGGAATGAATTGAATGAATCAAAATAATACCTTTTTTTTTCAGATCGGCCAGAAATATGTATATTGGGGTGCGCAGCACTTTGCTAATTAGTTTATGTGCCGTGAGATGAAAATAGGTGAACATCGCTGCTCTAGGTCTTCCTGAAGATGGAATGCAGTAAAAAGAGTTTTGAATACTTAGGACATTATTTTTCTTTCAGTGTTTCATCAATCTTTTGCTTGAAAATGTTTTTTCTCTGTTTTAATAATACCATCATTGGAGAATGAGCACAGATAACACAGCCAGCACTGTTTGTAACCTTTTGCGTAACTTAACTCATGACTGAAGTTTGTTCTTGGTGGCTGCCTGGTTTTGAGCTGCTGGGATTGGGCATCAAACCCGTCAATCAGGGTGCTGACTGGGGCGTAGCTTATGCCCAAACCTATACAAGCATCCAAAGACAGGCATTCTCGAGGAGAATAAGTAGATCACTCTATTTCCATGAAGACCATGGTCAAGTCCCGGGTGCTGCAAAGCTCCTGTTTTCCTGTGTGGACCCCATGGGAGGAGAGGGGGCCCAGGTGTGGCTGAATGCAGTTGTCTTTTCTGTCTTTGGGTAAAGAAGTTCTTACCTTTCAGTTACCAATTTGGAAAATTCAATAACATAAGAAGCAGTGAGGTGATCTACAGTGGCTTGGTGTGGGAATTTTGCTTGCATTTTTTAAAAACATTTTTTAAATTGACTTCAGAGAGGAAGGGAGAGGGAGGGAGAGAGAGAAACATCAGTTATGAGAATCATTGATTGGCTGCCTCCTGCACGCCCGCTATTGGGGATGGAGCCTGCAACCCAGGCATGTGCCCTTGGCTGGAATCGAACCTGGGACCCTTCAGTCCACAGGCCAGTGCTCTATCCACTGAACAACACCAGCTAGGGCTGCTTGCATTTTTTAGTGATGAAATAAATAGACCTACATTCTAGTTCAGTGTTCCAGGTTAGAAATATCAAATAAGAAGGACACTGAGTTCATGGCTAGAAGCTTAAACTCTGGTTGCAGAAGCAGTAGGGAGCCACTGATGGGCCAGAACACGAAATTACAGGGTCTCCTCACCCATCTTGCTGTCCACCTGGTGGTCTTGCAGCAACCGTGACTTCAGTCAAGGACAAGCCTTCACTGCAGAGCTGGGGTCTGCACGGGGCACCGGGCATCCACAGCTGCCTGCCACGAAGGGTTCACGTTCTAACAGGAGGATCAAATAGTCTGTCAGAATGGATGGATGGATGGATGGATGGATGGAGAGATAATAAATTGTTGACAAGGAAATAGATGACAGAGATGAGGGAGGCCAATCTGTCTGAACCATAAATGGAAACCCAAATCCAAATTATTTAAAAAGAAGCAACATGCAAATTATAAATGGCATATTTTTTCACTGAGAGGTTTACTTTAATCCCTAGAGAGCCTTTACCTGGCAGCTTAAAGCTTTGAGGTCTAAAGAGAATGAAAAGCAGAACATATTACAAATGGGGCCTCAGGACCGGGCCTCCTCTGGTCAGAGGCTGTTGTGAGGGATCGCCTGCTTCCCTGGGCTTTCAGAAGTCCCTTGTCAAACTCAGGGAAAGAGTAAAAGAGTAGCAAATAAGCAGCCAGTCAGCCCAGAGCAGGCCAGGCTGGTGCCTGGGCCGCGGTTCCCTGAGTGACCCATGGAGCAACTCTACGACACACCTGGAGGTGAGCAGCAGGGCTCAGGCTGGGACAAGTCAGGATGACGTGATCAGGATTTGAGGACTGTGTTTGCTAAGCTGCTTGGCAAGTCAGAATTGCAGCATCCAGAGTTCTGAACGAGGCGTGTACCCAGAGTGCCAGGGACGTGTTCTCACAGGGTTTTCCTTGCAGGTGGTGAGGTGCCAAAGAGAGAATGTCCTTGTGGGCATCTATTGGGATGGGCAGAGACCCACTCAGCAAGGACCACAGAAGGTGAGGCTGGAAGTGATGTCGGAAACCATGTGGCTCCCCCACCAAAGCCCCCAAGTCTTGAGGAGGAAGAACAAAGCTGGAGGTATCACACTCCCTGATATCCAAGTATGCTGACAAACTCTCAGAATCCAAACAGTAAAATACAGGTCCAAAAAGCAGACAGGTGGACCAGTGGAACAGAACAGAGAGCCCAGAAATGAACCCACACCCGTGTGGTCAATTAATCTGAGACAGAAACAGCAGGAGCACTCAATGGGGGAAAGACAGGCCCCTCAATAAATGGTGTTGGGGAAACTGGAGCAGGTGCATGTAAACAAAATGAAGCTAATCACTTTCTCACACTGTGTACAAAAATGAACTCAGAATGGATTGAGGGGCTGAGGTGTGGTGACACAGAGCAGCTGCCTGGGTCAAAACCTAATGCGTCAGAGAAAGAAGAGTTTGAACCCAAATCTGCCTGGTCCCAAAGGCCACTCTGTCTCTCTCTGCACAGGCTGGTTTTCAAGAAATGAATGCCACCCAGCACGTGTAAGGATTTACTAACCTACCAAGTGCACAGGCTGGTTCAATGGGTCGGAACCTCAGCAGATTCGCATACAACTGCTCAGTGCCCCAGTGACTCCCCTGATGGGTGACCTGGGCCAGGTTGGGCTGCCTCGGGTGCCGATGCTGCCCCAACATCCACACCGAGAAACTCAGAGCAGCAATGCTCACAATTACTGGAAAGGC